CTCTTAAGGACCCAGGACCGCCCTTGGGGGCCAGGGCATCGCCATCGCCCTGAAGAAGGTTGTGTCGGGCCTCGTAGCCATGGGGCACCGGGATCCGATCAGCCCAGGCATCCCCCCCCCCCCCCCCCTCCTAGGTCCTACCCCTCCCCTTCTCCTAGGTCCCACCCGTCGCCGCGCCCAGGGACCGAGTGATTAACGCACGGGGCCGGTTCGTCCATAGGGGCCGCGGGACCAGGGGAGGCGTCGCCCTGTCCGCGCCGCCCATCGCGTGGGCGCGGCTGCCGCCTCTGCTCCGCGCGCGAGCAGGTCTTCGCGTCTCTCTTCAGACTCCCTCTGCGCTGAACAGGCTCGTCTCTGGGGTGCCGAGCGAGCGGGCAGAGCACGCCGAGTGCGAGACGAGGTCGCCTTCGCAAGCCAGGCCGGCGGCGGGGAAGGGCGACTCTTCCTCCCTCGGAGCATACGCGAGCGTGCCCGTGCCGGAGCTCGGCGGCCGCCTCGGCGGCCGCGGCCACGTCCTGAACGGCTTCGGCGCGCTCAGCGGCGGCGCGGCGGCGGCGTGCGGCGACTGCGAGCGAGACCGCGATGACATGCTATAGCCGCAAGTGCCGGGGCGGATCATCCCGGCCGGCTTTTTGTGCTAGTTGAATTATCTATTATGATTTATGTGCGTAAGATCCAGTTCCAGAAAAAGAGCAGATCGGAGATCGCGTAAAGATTGTCCAAGAGATCGACAGGCGCAGGTATTTCAGAGGTCCCAGGTCCGCTCACGGCTCACCGCTCAGGCCTCAGGGGTGCGTGCCCCCTCGTAGGTGAAGTAGGGGCCACGACTAGGGCCACGCGAGAGGTGCGGCTGCGGGGAAGCAGGAAGGGAAAAAAACGGAAAGCGCTAAGCGGAAAAGCCCACAACTTGCGCGGCCGGCGCCGCGCAGCCACTCTCAAAGCTCAAACCCAACACTTTACTCGCTCACACCTCACAGCAGCCGACACGAAAAACTCGGACCCACGAAGACAAGGAGCGCGCGCCAATGGCCGCCTCCGTGACACTCCCACCTCCTGGGCCGGCGCGGGAGTTTTACTGCCGAGTTTCTCCCGGCCGGCCGCCTCCTGACACGCCCACTGACCGAGCCCATCGAAAAAAATTCGGCGCGCCGCACTGCTCTGACCCCTGCTCGCCCCTGCTCGCCACTGTCGCCTCGGTTGCCGAGGCTGCCGCGCACCCGCGCGCTACGCGACTACGAACTGCACCAGCTGGGCTCGAACCAACGACCAAAACGTCCCCGACCCGAACGCTGCACCAACTAGGCCACACCGCAGGCTCGATATGCAATACGCACAAAACTGGCCGCTCATAAAGCACTACTCATTTGCCGAGGTCTGCATCTCGCAACACACACTTGACAGGGACAGACCAGGCGCAGGAAAAGGGAGCGGGGCCCGAATCCAAGGGACCACCCCGTCGGGCGGAGGAGCTGTGAACTCAGGTCCAGCAGGAAGGCTGCTGGCTCCTGACTCATCCCCCAAATCCCCCACACCTTGGCGGCCTGAAACCTTACCATTCCGACACCTCACACACACCCCTCCCCTAGGGCTAAGCAGTGCGCGAGCCCACCCGACTTCAGGCGAGACGTTGACCACTCCTTTGGAACAGTTCTGTCAGTGGCTGCACTAGACGCCCACAGAGGCGCGCGGCGCGGGCAGATGACTAGGGGAGAAAAAGCGGAGAACCTAGCTCGCTGGGAGATGTGCGCAACCTAAAGACGGGAATAGGGGAGAAGTGTCAGTGTGAGGGGAGGGCGTAGGCTGGCGTTTTTGCCTTTGAAAACTGAACAGTTTTTTTTCACAGCAGCCGACACGCGCCCCGTGCCGCGTTCAACCAGCCCCTCTGCGAGTGTCAAGATGGAGCTGCCCCTCCCCCGCCTGGCTTGCCGGCGGGCGGCGTGACGACGAGCCCCTGCTCGCGCGCCTTGCGCAGCGAGTCTGCAACCATCTGCTGCGTCGAGTGGATGGAGGCCACCGCCCTCGCCCCTGCGCGCGTCCCTCTCTCCCTGCCCGCCCTGCGCTCCGGCGCAGCGCGCTCGCCACCTCCGCCTCCCCCGCCTCCTCCGCCTCCGCCTAGCTGCATCCGCGCCCACATCGCATCGACAGTGGCCACCTGCTTGGCAGCCTCGGCGGCCGCTGCCTTCAGGTCCCGCTGCATCCTCTCCTCCGCCTCTAGTGATGGCTCGATTGCAACACCCATCGGCACCACCCCAATGTCCGCCCCAATGTCCGCCGCCGCCGCCGCCTCTCCGGCCGCCGCCTCTGCAGCAGCCGCCTCCGTTCCGCCGCTGGCAGGCTCCGGCGCCGGCGGATAGAGCGCCGCGCCTCCGCCGCTCTCCTCGGCCGCAGCCTCCGCCCCGCCCGCCCGGAACCGCTCCCACGAGCTGAGAGGCGCCGGCTGAGGCGGCGTCGCCGGCGCCGGCGCCGCCCTCTCCCCCTCCGGCCTCCCCTCGGTCCTCCCCTCGGTCGCATCCTCGGGCGCCGCCTCGGCCGCACCCTCGGGCGCGGCGATGGCGGGAGGGGCGGGAGGGGCGGGAGGCGGCGGGGCGGAAGGGGGAGGCCTCTCCCACGCGGTCACCTTGTTGACGTAGTCGACGTAGTACGTCTTCCCCGTCGCCCGGTCCACCCGCGACTCCCACCCCGCCGGCAGCGCCTCCGCCTCCGCCTCCGCCTCCGCCTCCGAGGCAGCGGCGGGCGCAGCAGCAGGCTGCGGCGGCACCTCTCCGCTCTCCTCCCCGCCCGGCCTGTCCCAGCTGGTCACCTTGTTGACGTAGTCGACGTAGAAGGTGCGCCCCGTCGCCTTGTCCACCCGCGACTCCCACCCCGCCGGAAGCGGCTCCGCAGCAGCTGCGGCAGCGGCGGCGGCGGCGGCGGCTGCAGCTGCGGCAGACGGGCCGCATTGCACGGGCGGTGGTTCCGCTTTCGCGGCGGCGGGCGCCGGCGCTGGTGCCGGTGCTGCGGCCGGGGGCGGCGACGCCGGTGTCGGCGCGGGCGGCGGCGGCGAGGCGGGAGACGGCGCCGAGGCGGGCGGCGGCGGCGAGGCTGGCGGCTGTGCAGTGTGTCCGAGCGGCTGCCAGGCTGGGACGAGCCGCTCCATGGAGAGGGACTTGACGAGCTGGGCGGAGAGGACCTGTTGGGGAGAGGAGGGTGTGGAGAAAGAGGAAGGGAGAGAGAGAGAGGGCAGAGAGGGAGAGAGGGAGCGAGGGTGGGAGTGGGAGACAGAGAGGGCGGAGGCTGCAAGCGAGAAGCGAAGAGAGGCGGCAGCGGAAGGAGAGGCGGAGGGAGAGCAGCGTGGGAGAGGAGCGGGAGCGTGTGCGGCACAGGCGTCGAGAGGGTACCTGCGAGCGCTGGTGGGCGGCACGCAGGACGGCGAGTTCGGTAGCGGAGAGCGGGCCGTGCTGGGTGAGCGCGTCGAGAAGCACCGCGCTCGCGTGCAGCCCCTGAGCGATCCGCGGCGCCTCGAGCACCGCCCAACGGTCGCGCGGGGTCGGCGCCGTATCTGGACGGTCCAGCTTGCGGGCGCGCTCGTAGATGTCGATGGCGAGCGCGCGGAGCGTGGCGCCGGCCGGCGCCTCGGGCGGGCCCAGCGCGCCCCGCTCCTTCTCCAACTCGTCCAGAATGCCCATCAGCCAGCGCGTGCCGGCTGCGTCCCTGCTCCGAAGCGCGAGCCCGACAGCGGCGGCGTGCACGCGGAGCTGGTGGGAGACGACGGCGCTCACGCTCTTCAGCTCGCGCGCTCGGTCGACGTAGGCGCGGATCGGCGAGAGGCTCTCTGGGAGGGGCTGCATGTACGTTTATAACCAATCGGCAATGGTGGTGAGATGGGCGACCGCGCGGCGTGTGAAGCGAAGCACGACCGCAAAATCGTGGCGAAAAAAGAAAGAGCGCGACATACCCTGGATGTGAGGCTGCCGACTGCACTCCAAGTGCTCCAAGTGCGACAAGCCGCACTGTCCCTCTGTGTTCGTGTGCGTCGCCCATGAAAGGAAGAAAGAAAGAAAACGGACAACCCAAGGGAGGGATGGGAGGACGGCACGCCGCCACCACACAGCTCACAGGGATTTTAAGGAGAGGTGTGTGATGCGCTAGCCGTCGCCCACCCTAGGGAGTCTGCCTCTTCCTATCTCTCTTCGCAGTCTCTCGCCGCTTCTCGCTGCAACCTTCATGCCACCTCGCGGTCGTCCCACTCTCGTCGTTCTCTCCCTTGTCACTTCCTCCTCTTGTCGCGTCGTTCTCTTCTGCCTCGTCCTGCGACGCCGCCGCCTGCCGGTCCCTTGTTCTCGCGGCTTCTTTCGCCTTTCGGCGCAACTCCGTCCTCCTCGCGGCGTATCCTGGCCCCTCGAGTCTATCGAGCTCCCCTCGCGCAAGGACCACATTTCTGACTCCCACTCCGATCATTTGCCTCCAAGTCATGAGAGAGAGAGATTGTTTGTGTTTTGAGATTATTATTATTTTTGTTTGTGTTTTGTTGCAAGTCATGTCGTTGCTCAGGTCCACTCTCTCTTCGAACACTTGTGCCTCTACGGATGATGCCGGCGCTGGCGTCCCCTTCGGGTGCATCGTGACATCTAACAACTGAATTTCCACTGGTTCGTCCTCCTCGGAGTCCAGAAAGAAAGAAAGAAAACGCACAACCCAAGGGAGGGATGGGAGGAGTCCATCTCTCCCTGGAGATGAATGGTGTATTTATTTTTTACACAGGCGAGCCACCCTGGCTGACAGCACACACGGCAGGCCACCCTTGGGTGATGCTCTGATAAACCCTCTGGATCTTCGACAAAGGTCGGATATTTCTTTTTTCAAAGTGCAAGGTGTGAATACGAGGTTTATGATAGGGCTACTACGACGAACTATGCGGCAATCGACTGGGCGCCTGGCGCCCGACCACCCCCGCGCAAAGACCTCGTAGTCGTCCTCTCATAGTACATAGACCAGCGCACAGCGCCATTGGACGTATTTTCTTCTCAATAACAAGGCCTGAGAGAGAGAGAGAGAGAGAGAGAGAGAGAGAGAGAGAGAGATTTTTAGAAGCCAAGAAGAAATGTGGCACACAGAGTTCTCCTTCTGTCTGAGAGAGAGAACAGCGCCATACGTGTCTTCTTCTCAATAATCGGGTCGCTCCTCATCGCAAACCCTGTCAGCAGAGTCCTCCTACGGGAATGTACGTAAGAGCCACATACACTGAGAGAGAGAAATAACAAGCTGTGACTTGGCTGTGAACACCGTCGCACGTCCCATGTGTGTTGGCTTGTACCCCCAGTCGCGGTGGCGTCCATCGCCAGGCTCCCTAGCTCAACCGACGACCCTTCGGGATCGACGGCCGATCGTCATCGCTCTCGATGCTCATCGGGACGTTGCTGCTTCTGTCCCACCAGCAAACTGCCCTCGCCGAGCCCACGGAGTGCCACAATTCGTTCACGACGTCGCCCGAGGGTGGACAGGACCAGGTCTTCTCCACTCCGTTTGTGTCGCTAGGCTTGGAGGCTCCGCCACAGCCGCTCATGCCGAAGCACGGCTGGCGGACAGAGCAAGAGCTTGAGGCTGTCATCCACGCTCTCGCAGAGGACGGCGCAGTCTTGCTCGAGGGCGTGGTCGATCCGAGCGTCGCGCTGAGCCTTCGCACCCACTTCTACGATGACCTCATCCGCCACCCGAACATGGAGGAGGCGATCCGTGAGCTCGGTGCGGCTAACAACTCGGAGGCCTTCTACGTGGCGGAGCGGCGGGTTGGGGGCCTGCGCGTGCGCCGCAATGGCGCACGCGGCCGCTTCGACCTGAAGCCATTCGACCGGCGCGACGCGGGGGTTCTTGTGCAGTCGCTCGGCCTCGACTCTCTGTTCGAGCCCTTCCTTCTTCCGCCGCCGCTCCGCACGCTCCTCGCTTCCGTTGTGCAGGCGCCAACGGGCTGGCGCGTGAAGAATGCTGGAGCGCTGACCACCTTTCCGCACGCACACACGGGGCAGTGGCACCGCGATATCGGAGACGGCCTCTTCGGGAACGAGAGCCTAGACCTGAGCCTGCCGGACTACTACTTTGCCGCTCTGTGCCCGCTGGACGAGACGACGGTCGAGCAGGGCTCCGAGCTGCTCCTTGGCTCGCACACCGTCCTCGCGGGCGGACTGGGCGAGGCGATCTCAGCAGGGCGCGTGCGCCGCGTGATAGCTGCTGCAAAGCCAGGCGACGTCCTCTTCTTCAGCGGCAAGGTCGTGCACCGCGGCATGCCCAATCCGACCGAGTCCACGCGCTCGCTGGTGTACACGGTCTATACTGCAAAGTGGTTCGAGCAGGGCCGTGACGCGTCGCGCGAAATGTACACCGGCTGAGAGGAGGCTCGACTGCGCATAAGTGCGGTCTTGGTCTCTCTTGGAGCCACAGAGCAGATGGCGCTAGCCAGAAACTCCGCCCTCGTCTCGCGTGTGTCTCGTCCGGTTAAGGCAGGCGTGAGAGTGAAAGGTGTTCCCCGCGACTGCAGCGCACCGCGGCCGCGCCGTCGCACCGGCGCGCGTGTGCCCCTCTCGTCGTCGCTCACGTGATGCTCCAAACCGCGGTTTGTCTCCTCTTCCTAGCGAGCCGTACACGTCTTCCACACCATCCACGCCACACCTCCTGACCAGTGCGGGGCTCGGTCGTGAGTCGTGTGCGGTGTGGCGAAGCGTGGCGTGTGAAACGGCTGCGCCCTGCAGTGACCCCGCTTGCGGCAGCGTCCGAAAATGTATCCGGCTGGTCCTCTCCTCGTTTCTCACGCGTCCTTTCTGACAGGATTACACAAAATCCGCGTAGGCGACTGGGGCCGCCTTCTCGGCAGCGCGCTCGCGGCGCGCTGTCTACTCAGAGTCTAATCAGGCTAACGTAATCCCTGTTTGAGCGGCCTGCGAGGCCGAGGTCCCCCCACTGGGGTCCCGCAAAGATCTAGGCTAAACGTAGTCCCTGTTTGAGCGGCGCAGTGGGCCGAGGTCCCCACTGGGGTAGCTCACAAGACACACAGCCAGCTGGCTGCCACACACCCTGAGTTGGCGTTCACATAACTCAAGGCCGCGCCCCCCCCCTGTCGCCTCCCCCAGCCAAGGTGCCGAAGGAACAAACAAGGGCACAACAACACAACAGACGACAGGGGGCAGGCTTGCTCGTCCTATGTATGTATGTAGGAAGGTGAAGAACAGTCAGGCTCGGACTGGACACCAACGCGGTATGGGTGGACGCAAGACAGATGATGACGACACGCACGAGCGACACACAGACACAAACAAGCTCACGGGACACACAGCCAGCGGGCTGCCACACATCCTGAGTGGGCGTACACATCACTCAGGCCACGTCCCCCCTGTCGCCCCCCCCAGCACTCCAAGGTGCCAAGAGACAAACAACAGCACAACAACACAGACAGGCGACAGGGGCGAACGTGTGAGACTAGAGCAGGCTTGCTCCGCCTCTAGCAATCTCGTCGCCGGCCGCAAGGCACGGACGAGACCGTGTGTGGGGTCTTGTGAGGTGTCTATGGACGCCCTCCTCACAGTCTAGCGGCCAGCCGCCAGCCCTATCTCGCACTCATGGGTGACGACAGTTCATTGGATGAGTGGTTGCGAGCAGAGGCGCGTGTGCTGAATCTAGATCGCACGCCGTGGCATATGACTTGGGTAGGCGTGCGACCGCAGCGCGCCCGCCGAAGGCAGCAATCTCCGCCGACCGCTAAAGAAGAATTTTCAGAAATTTCTTTTTGGGCCACAGGGAGCAACCTGTGGCACCTCTCACCTCTCCAATGTCGCTGATCGCGGACATTCAAGTGGTGCCCAGCCCCACTGGCACCGAGGCGGACTGCTTCAAGCACGTCAATGCCGCCATCGCCGTGATCACAGCCTCGGGACTCAAGCACTCGGTTGGCGCCCTCGGCACCACAGTCGAGGGACGCGCGGACGCTGTTTGGAGGGTGGCGCGCGAGGCGTTTGACGCGTGCCTGAAGAGCGGCGCTGAGAAGGAGCTCATGTACCTCAAGCTCTACCGCGGCGACCACACCGTTTCAGAGCTCGAGGAGAGCGGCGCAGCAGCGGCGGCGGCGGCGCGGCCGGTTGCGCGCCCGGATGATCGGCCGGCGGCGGCGTCCCGCGCGGCAGTCGCCAACCCGAACCCCGACCGCGCGTCTCGCGACCGCACCTCCGCCTCGCGCCCCGCCTCTGGGATGAGGCCGCCCGGCTCGGGCTTCTCGCTCGACCACCGCGCCGTGCGGGACCGCACCTCCCGCACCTTCTTCGAGGCGGGCCCCGCCCCGCCGCCGCGCGAGCTGCACGCCGCCCGCCGAGTGCAGCAGCCCGCCTCGGTCCCGAAGCGGCGCGAGGCGCCGCCAGACGAGAGGCCTCCGCGCGGGCGGCCGCCCAAGGGCAAGGCTTGCGTCCCCTCCCTCGGACGGGTGGACAGCGCGCCGCCTCCTCCGCCTGCGCGCGCCGCGCCGCCCGCCGCCAAGAAGAAGGCCGTGGCGGCGGCGGCGGCGGCGGCGGGCTCCAAGCAGGCCGCCCCGCCCCGCCGCCGCCCCGCGGCCGCCGCCCCCGCCGCTCGCAGCCGGCACGCTAGCCTCCCGCCCGCTCGCGCCAAGCCGCCGCCGCCGCCGCCCGTCCTCAACCTGATGCCGGGCCGGCCGGCGCGCGACCGGCACGCCGCGGCCTAGATGCCGCAACGTCACTCGCACCGCAGACACTCGCCTCTCTAGCCAGCACCGGCGCCTCACCCTCGCTCCTGCTGTGCTGCTGCACGCCCTGCGCGGCGGAGAGGAGGCGCGGCTCCTGCTGCCGCTGCAAGCCCCAGCCGCAGGCGCTCCCCCCCCTCTAGGCCCGCGGCCACCTTCTTCGTCGCCGGCCCTGCGCCGCCGCCTCGCCAGCTGCACGCGGCGGCGCGCGAGCTGCAGCAGGGCGCAGCGCCCAGGCCGCCGCCGGCCGCCTCCAAGCCTCGCGCCAAGCGGCCGGCGGCGGCGGCGGCGGCGCCCGCCCTGAAGCGCCCCCGCGGCCGAGCGCCGAGCGGCATGGTGTGGGACGCGGAGGCGGGCTGGGTGGCCGCGGACTAGAGGCGGCCGCGCACCCGGGGGAGAAAGATGCATGTGGGTTGCGCAATGTACTAGGCGTCGTGGGGCTGTGCGCAGTACAAGTATGTCGAGAGAGAGAGAGCGCGCGCGGAGAGCGAGAGATGAGAGAAGGGTGCGAGGGTGTCTCGCACATGACTCATCGGCCGGGACAAAGAAGTTCCGTACCCGTGCGTCGGGGCGGTATACCGCTGGCCGCGGGCGCGCGCGCGCGCCGTGGGGCGAGCTCTCACCCGTACGCCGTAGAGCCGTAGAGGCTAGAGAGCGTGCGAGGCGGGACTTTTGTGATTTGTCGATGTCGCTTGTCGCTAGACGAAGTGCTGCACCTTTTTGAGAATTTCCCCGGATAACAATACAAGAAAGACACACTGTCCATACTCACGGTACTAAGTCGGTAAGTCGCAGTAGCAGTATAGGCAGAGTCAAAGAAGAGAGAGGACCCTCGCGCGCCGCGCGGAAAAAAAGAGAGAGTGGCAAGTGCAGGCTGTGGGTCTTCTCGTTCGGTTCACACGAGACGTGGCCCGCTAGTAGAGGCCGCTGTGGGCCTGCGGCGCAAGGGGGCGGGCTAGCAGCACGCGGGCTAGCCGGGTGTACACGCGCGCCTCCTCACGCGCTCAGCAGCGTGCTAGGTGCGAACGCAGCGCTGCCAGCCGCGGCAGCCGCCTCTTGCGCCTCGGCGCCGGTCGGAAGCAAGGCCGCCTTGCGGACCTCGTACCTATTGGCAGGCAGCCGGGTCACGGCCCCTGCTCGGTTGCCGCTGCGCGGGGTCTCTTCGCGTGCCGGCTCTTTGGGCGGAGGCGCGAGGGGCCCCACCAGGTGACGTCCCAGGCGAGGCCGCTCGCGTGCAGGAGGCCCACGAAGCAGTGGCCCGGAAGATCGCCCCACTTGCCGGGCCGGACGGCGAGGCCTGCTCACAGGCACGGGGTGTGAACAGCGCCTCTTCACAGGTGGCCACTTGCCGGGCCGGACGGCGAGCGGGGGGGTACGCATGGCGGTGGCCGTGCATCTCGGTCAGATCTCGGTCTAGAGGATCTCGGCTATCTCTCAAGCGCCGGGGTACGCATGGTGGTGGTCGTGCGAGTCCTCGCCGACGGCAGGCGAGATGAACAGGGCGACGGCCTCGACGGGGCGGGGGCGGGAGGTACATAGCTCACTCGTTGGTGTGGGGAGGGCGCTGGGCGGGGGCTGGAGGAGAGGGATGCCTCTCGGCTGAGAGAGGCACTATGCTGAGAGAGGCCGGCCGGCGTGGTGTGGCTTCCAGTAGGAGAGGGGGAGGGGGAGTGAGCCAATCTCAACCAGCTGATCGGCTGCGGAGGGGGGAGACGCCTCGAGGAGGAGGTAGAGGGGCCACTCTCGCAGCAAGCCGGCGGTCGCATGCCGAGCGTAGTTTGTCGGGTCGTCAACGGCAACGCACCTGCCTCAACGGAGACTCGTGTCGTGGGAGAGGAGGTGGCCTAGTCTAGTCAGGCCACGCCGAGACGGCCACGCACTCGCTGCGCGCGGCCTCGTGCTTCTTGGCCATGGAAGGCGGGAGGCCGGCGGCCTCCTCCTCCTCCGCCCGCCTCGCCGCCTCGCCACGCATGGAACGGTACTCCCTTCATTGGTTGTCGCTTGAGAATCCATGTGAATAATGCGTACTGACCTCGCCGAGCGGGTGGTTGCGCACGTTGAACCAGAGTGTCGAAGTGAGCCCCGTCCACGACGTTGTGAAGCAGACCTAGACGCGGGTCCCCCACGTAGAGGCGGGAAGAGAAGAGCTCGCCACACACTAGCGTCCAATCCGGCGGTCCAGCAGACCTGGCCACACGCGAACTGTGAAGAGGACGGCGTCACAACGGCGCCCCTTGCCCCCGAGGACGGGGGTGGGCGGAGCAGAACCCACAGCCCGGCCGGCCCAAACGCGGCGTACGCGGCGGCGAACTCAGCCAGCGGCGGGAGGAAGGCGAGCGAGTCGACGAGCCGCATGGCGACGCCGTCGATGTGCTTTGGCGCGAACCTGGCGAGGCCGCGCGGGGAGTGAAACGGGACGGCTGTGAGGAGGACACTCGCCGAGCTCTGGCGCAAACCGCTCGTCCACGGCCATGCTCGAGCGTGCTGCGTCGATCGAACACCCTCCGATAAAGAAGGAGAGCGCGCAGAGGCGGCCGACGAGCGCGGGGGAGTGCGGGTCGAGCGGCGACGTGTCGCAGAAGCGGTGATGCGCCTACTCTCGCGATGAGTTGAAGCATCCAGTCAATAACCTCGAGCCGGCGACGTGTCACAGCAGCGGCGTGTGGCGCGCCTGCTCGCAGATCAAAGAACCAGTGCGCAATCTCTGAGTCGAGTCGGCGACACGGTGTGCGCAAGTGGTGGCGTGCCCGGTGGCGCGACGCCCACCAGAGCGGCCCGCCCTGGAAGGCGAGGCAGCCGACGGCGGCGAGGACGAGCCCGGTGGCGGGCCGCACCTGCTCACATCCGGAGGGGCGTGACGAGACGCTAGTCACGTTTTCACAGGCGCAGCTGCACGGTCGTCACCTGCTCACGGAGGGGCGTGAGCCTCTGCACAGGAGGAGGAGGAGCCCGGCGGCGGGTCGGGACGTGGAAGGCGGCGTGGGCGGCCCATCGGTGGAGTATGACGGACATGCAGACGCCGTTCTTGAAGACGAGGAGGGCGGGCAGCGCGAGCAGTGCGAGGAGAGGGTGGGGTACCTGCGTCGAGAATCCAGGGTGTGTGACTGCGAACAGACCGCGAGTGCTACAGAATGCAGTTGAACACGTGTCCTCTCGAGTGCTCCTATGATGACCTCTTGTGTTCTATGAGCATCTACACTGTGAGGCACCACCGCCGCCGAGCCGATGCCGGTGAGGGAGGCGACTTGGAGCGGCAGCAGGACAGTCACCATCGCGAGCTGGGCAAAGTTGGGCCCCTGCGAGAAGGGCGTCGCTGGTCGCCCCGCCGCCAGCCGCCAGTCCTCGCGGCACATCCGCCAGCCGCTGACGGAGAGGGAGAGCGCGACGGCGACGGCGACGGCGAGGTGGGCCGGAGGAAGGAGGGAGAGCAGGTAGACGGCGGGGCAGAGCATGGTCAGAGGAGATAGGATCATGAAGGGACGGAGCCCGACCGCCCAGAAGCGCGGCGGCGCGTGGCCGGCAGCGATCAGCGCCTGCGTGGCTGGCGAGTGCCGCTCGCGAGTCGGCGGCCAGCACCGGGATGCGGCCTCATGAGGCGGAACCGCAAAGCCTCTTTGCTCGGCCACAGTGGAGAGCGAGTCAAACTCGTTGAGCAGGAGGTTGTACTCGCGCGGAATCATGGTGAAAGAGAGCAAGAAGGCAACCAACGTATTGATCGCCTCTCTTCCTGCGCCGGTCGTGGCCATGCCGTCTGCTTTAGCGACTGCCGGCGACGGCTCATTGTGTTCATCAGCAGCCGCGGTGACCAGCAATGCGGTTCTGCTGTCGCTCCTCACTGCATCGCTGCAGACTGTCCCTTGTAATGTGAGAGAGTGCGTTGTGTTCGAAATAAAGCGGCGAAGGAGCGCGGCGACAAGCTTGCAGTCTACCATTCGATGGTCTGGCTAAAACGGATCGAGCTGCATCACCCGGAAGAATTAAAGATAGAAGCGCAAGGCGGGCCATTAGAAAGTGCTTTCTTTTTTTTTTCGGGACGTGACTGCTCAATCGCGTCTCAGGCTCCACCTTGAGGCGGCTTGCGGCGGCGGCTTACGCCGTGACACACGCACCGACGCCTGCGCGTCCTCGCGCCCCCCGAGACCTATGGTGACCAGCGCAGACAAGGCCCTGTTCAGCTGCGCCATAGCGTCCGTGCTGGTTTCCTTTGCAATGATTATCACTGGGTTCGTGTTCCTGCTCGCTGCTGGCGCGTCTGAGTTGTTCTGCCGTCCAACATTTGACGGATCATGGGTTGAGGGGGGAGGATGCGATCGCATCAACGCCACTGCTGCATCCGGGGGATTGATCATCGCAATCGCGGCCCTAACGCTAGCCGCGGGAATAGTGGAGGTCACATCTGGCTCGGGCGTGAGCTGTTGCCGCCCGTTCGCTAGGCTCACCCGGATTCGCTCACTTGTCGCTTCAATCTCAATCCGCGCGATGGCCTCCGGTTTTTGGATTTGGATCATCGTGATTGTCTTCAATCCCGGAACGATTCCCGAGTCCTCGCCGTTTCCTCAGCTCCCGCCGCCATCGCCATATCCTCCGCCTCCTCCTTTAACTAGTCCTCTGCCGGCGCAGCCGCCTTCGCCCCCTTGGCCGCCGACTTGGCCGTCCTGGCCGCCACACCCGCCATTTCCTCCGGGCGCGGCGCCGTCGCCATTTCCTCCGTTTAGTCCACCCGCCCCTCCGTCTCCGCCGCCGCCTCCCTCTCTCCCGCCAGAACCACCGTCGCCGCCTCGGCCGCCCTGGCCGCCACGTTCGCCGCCCGAAGCCTATAGCGTCGACGCTGGCCCAATCATTCTCCTCACGGTGCTCTTCCTACTGATCACTGTCGATCTCATCATCGACACGATCGTCCTCCGAAGCGTGTGTCGCCGTCCTGTGGAGCCTGCCAAGCCTCAACCAGCGAATGCGCAGTGACTCGTGCAGGTGCCCCCCCCCCCCCCCCCCCCGCGGTGCCGCAGGGTGGCAAGCTCGCAGCGAGCACCGAGCTATTCCATTGAGCACATATCGTATTGTTAGCGGGAGCTTCGGCTCGCTGTTTGCTCGTGATCGCAGATTTCAAAGGCGAAAAGAAAAGCCTCTGGGAGCATGTGCACAAGTAGAGACGCGGCTGTACAGCTGCTGGGACGCGCTTTGGGAGCACTAGCTGCACAGAAAGATCTGCTCCGTTCGTTCCTTTTCCTTACCTTACCTTACATGCCCCCCCCCCCCCCCTCCACTCACCGCTGACAGCGTTGTGTTTCCTTGATCGGTGGTTGTCGCGCTCACCTGGCGCGCACGTCCGCGCTGTCGCCTGTGTAGGTGTCGGTAGTCACGCGCCACGTACCTCAGCCGCCTCTGGGCTCTCCGCCTCCACGAGCCGCGTCCCGTGGGAGGCGGGAGTGTCCGTCTAGCGCTCGCGTGTCACGTTTGCTTTCTCTTCGAGAGGGGCTGGTCCTCCTCGTCAGACGAGTCCGGGGGCGGCTTGTTAGGTTGTTGCTTGCTGCCCGTCGCCTTCTCCTTGCCGGCCGCCTTATTGACGGGGGGCGGCTTCTTCTCCTTGCTCGCCGCCGTCTTCGGCGGCGGCGGCTTCTTTTGAATCGCGGCGTCGGGGTCGAACGCCTCGTCCTGAGGGCAGAGGAAGGAGGGGAATGGGAGAAGGAGGGAGGGTGAGAGGAGTAGAGGGAGGGAGGGAGCGGGTAGGCCGGCTCTGGTGGCGGTCAGTGCGGCGGCGGCGAGGAGGCGGCGGTTTGCGGGGCAGAGGGCCTCGGCGGCGGTTACTGACGTCGCGGAGGGTGGGGAGGGCAGAGGCAGGGGAGAGGGAGGAGGGAGGGCCGCGGCGCCGCACGTCGCTCGAGTCCGGATCCGTCAAAAACCGCAGCCGAACCGCGGGGACTTGAGCCGCAGAATGGCTAGAGGTGCTCGGCGGTGCGGCGTGCGGCGCGGCAGCGGGCTGCCGCGCGACCAGTGCTGCGCGAGCCTTCTGTATCATGGCTGCGTGCTGGGCCTGCCGCGCGAGCAGTGCTGCGCGAGCCTGCTGCTGCTGCTGCTGCTGCTGCTGCTGCTGCTGCTGCTGCTTCTGCTGCTGCTTCTGCTGCTGCAGCTGCTGCAGCTGTTGCTGTTGCATCTGCCGCAGCAAGCCGGAGCCGCTGCTGGAGCCACTGCTGGCGGCGGCGTTGCTTGGCCCTGCGTGGCGCTGCCGCTTGGGGGCTGGGCCGGCGGCCTCCGAGGCGTCCTGTCCGACGGCCGCCGCCACCTCGGCCCCCATCTCCATCTCGACCTCGATCACGTACGCCGGGTACATCTGGCGCGACTCGTACACCACGTGCACGATGGAGGCGTCGCATCCGTTGTCGCCGCCACCGCTCTGGAAGGGGCGGTGCGGCCCGCCGCGCACGCTGTCGTAGAGGACGCGGGGCGGGCCCTCGAGGCGCACGCCGGGCATCCGCATTTCGCGAGTCTCGGCGCTGATGCGCTGTCCCATCTGTTGCTGCGAGCCGAGGGCGGCCCGCACAACGAGCAGCTGTACGCGGCGGCCGTCCGTGCCAGAGATGCGGTGCGCGTAGCGGCCGCCGATCGGGTAGGACGGGTCCTCCGCCAGGTAGATGCCGTGGCCATAGAAGCCGCCGCCTTTCGAGAAGCGCGGGTCGAGGCCTTGCGGATGCGCGAGCACGTCCGACGCTGGCCGCTCGGCGGTGCCGTGGAAGAGGAGCATCTCGTTGACGTCGCCGCCGGCACTGTGGATGAGCTCGGCGTCGCGGAAGTGGGAGTAGGCGCTCCACAGCTTTTTGTTTTGCACGCGCGACACCGTCTTGAGCTCGGCGCTCGAGCAGCTCCGCGCGAGGAGCGTCTTGATGAGGAGCGACTCGTTGGACATGGGCGAAAGCGGGACGAGCTTGGACTCGGTGGGGCCTCCGTCGCCACCGTCAGGCCCCCACTCGGTGGGGAACGTCATATGGGTTGCGGCCGGGGGCGGAGGCGAAGTCGCCATATATTTTGAAGTTCGTGATGGCCAGTAACGTCAGAGAAAAAAGAAACCCGGGCGGTGGGAAAAAGAAACGGAAAGGGGCGCACACAAAACCGTGCGAAGCCCTCACAAACCCAAACGCAGAGCACCGGGACGCGGTCGGGCGATCTGAGGCCCAAGTAGGTGAATGCATTGCCCATCCAGGGCTATCACCTGGACCTGTCAACAGCGCCTGCGGCGCCGTGCTCAGGAGTTGGTTTTCACTCACTCGAAATGTGGACGTAAAAGGGTTAAGGTGTTGCTGCGCAAAAGGGGTCGGACACAGGGCGCAGCTCATGCTAAGAGCTAGAAGGGGAGCTAGAGAGAACGACTACCCTGTCCCGTTATTGCGTACACCAACACCACAAAAGCTCTCTCTCTCCTGTCTCACTCAGGGGGGTGCCACAACTACCCCGAGTGACTAGCTGCCACGTTGCCGACCGAGAGCGGATCTCCTCCTGCTCCGCAAGGAGGGTGGCCAAGGCTAAAGTCTTGCCGGAGCCGCCGGGCGCGTTGACGACTTGGAGAAGGTCGCCCTTGTACTTGTACTTGTAGAGATGCTCGAGGGGGGGTGCTTTGTGGGGCGGTGCGCAGCCAGGCCAGCAGTGAGGGGAGGCGCACCCTCACTCTCCTCGGTTGCAGAGCTCGTCGGAGGCTGCGGCACGACGGGAGGGTCGCGACAGCAGTCCTCGGGCGAGCCGACGCGCATGTCCAACCAGCGCTGGGACTCGTTGTGACGGCAGACGCCGGCTGCCTCTCCAACCGCTTCTGCAGCGTCCTTCTTTGCCCGGTGCATGGGCTCGATCCGATTCCGCAGCGTGTCGTCCCCAGCGGCGGTGCTGCGCGGGAGGCGGCCGCGGGCACGCTGGGCTCGATCAGCGGCTTTCCCTCAGTTGAGGATTCATTGCCACTGTACAAGGTGCTGTGCAGCACTTGAGGGCTACCTGAGTACTGGCTACTGCCATGGTTGCTACATCAACAGGGGTGCAACTGAGCCGCAACTTGGGCTAGAACTTTTGAGAGGCTGCAACTGAGGGATAAAAGTACTGCCAGCCACGTATTGCTGCTGCAACCCTGATTTTCTAACTCTGCGACTTCAATGGGTCTACGTCTCTGCTGTGTCAGGATTCAGAGGTGTCGAGGTGGTGTCGAGCCAAGTGTCGAGCGGTGTCGAGCGGTGTCGAGCGGTGTCGAGGGGTGTCGAGGTGTCGAGTTTGGCACCTTGACACCGGCGAGCATGGCGCGTGATGATGAGGAGATGCCACCCAGGCCAGCCAGGGCAGGGGCGGAGGGCGAGGGCGGAGGGCGGGATGGGCGCCAAGCGGGAGGGAGCGGACGGAGTGGAATGCACAGGTGGGGGATGGCGAAGGCGGAGGGCGGGAAGGGGGGAGGGCGGCGGGAGGGCGGAGGTCGACATGGGCGGGCGGTGGGTGGTTCGGGAGGGCGGGGGGGAGGGCGGGGGGGAGGGCGAGGGGTGGGGTAGGGGGGCGATAGTGGAGAGGCTGCGCGCGTCTCGAATTCTTCTCTTTGTCCCGTGCCTGCGGCCAGTTTTTCTTTTTTCTGAATCTCTCGCTTGTACTCTCCGCCGGGACTCCTCAACTATGGCGGCCAGTCTCGACGAGTCCAGAGGCGGCCTTGTCGCCGAGCAGGTAAAGAGCCGCGCCCTGCTCCAGCGCGTGGTGGCACTCTCCAAGGAGCGCAATGAGGCTGCGCTCCACCTGGACGCGCTCTCGCGAGTCCTCGCCGGCGAGCCGTGCAACGGCGCTGGCGCCCCGTCTGCGGGCGTGGGAATGAATGGCGTCGGCTGCCTTTCCGAGCGCCTGGCAGCCTTGCTAACCGTGGCGGAGCGCATGGCGGCGGCGGCGTCCAGCGCGTCAGCGGCGTCGGCACGGTGTGCGGACGGCGGAAGCGCGGACCAGGCTGCGCTCCTTTCCTTGGCAGGGTGCACGCGCCTCCGGATCACACCCTTCGCGCCTCCTCTGCCGCAGGGCGGTGGCACCGAGCATCCCGGGGCGGGCGCGGCGGCCATGGCCGAGGCGGCGGAGCTTAGGTGCGTTGCCGCTTCCCTCTCCCCGCTCCCTTTGCCCGCCCCGCCCCGCCTCTGCACACTGTGGTCAACCGCCTCTGCACACTGTGGTCAACCGCCTCTGCACACTGTGGTCAACCGCCTCTGCACACTGTGGTCAACCGCCTCTGCACACTGTGGTCAACCGCCTCTGCACACTGTGGTCAACCGCCTCTGCACACTGTGGTCAACCGCCTCTGCACACTGTGGTCAACCGCCTCTGCACACTGTGGTCAACCGCCTCTGCACACTGTGGTCAACCGCCTCTGCACACTGTGGTCAACCGCCTCTGCACACTGTGGTCAACCGCCTCTGCACACTGTGGTCAACTGCCTCTGCACACTGTGGTCAACCGCCTCTGCACACTGTGGTCAACCGCCTCTGCACACTGTGGTCAACCGCCTCTGCACACTGTGGTCAACCGCCGACCTCCGGTGCCGCCTCCGCCGGTGGTAGGCACGAGGTCGAGGCGGCCAGAGCGGAGGCGGAGGAGGCGAGGGCGGAGGCCGAGGCCACCCGCGCGAGAGGTTGGTGGGAGCCTTCTCGGAGCCTTCCCGGAAATGTCTCGGAGCCTTCTGCATAGGCCAACCGCGTGGAGGCGCAGGCGGCGATGGCGGAGGTGGAGGCGGCGAAGGCGGAGGCGGCGGAGGCGAGGGCGGTGGCTGCGAGCGGTGCGGCGGCGGCGGCGGCGGCGGCGGCGGAGGCGGCGGCGGCGGCGGCGGAGGCTGCGGCGGCGGCGGAGCCTGCTGGCGCTGCAGCGTCGACAGGCGGTCGGTCGGCAGAGGTGGAGGCAGAGGTGGAGGCGTTGCGTGCGAAGGTGGAGGCTGCGGCCGAGGCGGCGGCGGCGCGGGAGGCGCAGTTCGGGGCGGAGCAGGACGAGATGCTCGGCCAGGTGGGCGAGGCGGAGGCGGCCAAAGACGAGGCGATCGCACGCGCCGAGGCGGCGGAGGCGGCGGCGGAGGCGGCGGCGGGCGAGGCGGCGGCGGCTCGCGAGGCGAGGGAGGCTGCGGCGGCGGCGCACAAGGCTCGGTTCGAGGCGGGGCAGGCGCTCGCTGCGGAGAAGAAGGCGCGTCGCGGTGGCGGAGAAGTGCGCGCGCGAGGCGGGCGGCTCGGTAGTGATTGACTCCTCACTCACTCAAAGGCGCGTCGCGAGGCGGAGAGGCGCGCGAGAGACGCGGAGGCCGCTCTGTCCGCGCAGGCTGCGGAGGCTGCCGCGGAGCGTGCTGCCGCCGCGGCCGCCCTCGAGCGCGCGCGCGCCGAAGCGATTGCGGCGGCGCAGCAGGCGGATAGTGCGCAGCAGGCGCGACTCCGGCGGAGAGTGTGCTCGTACTAGAGAGTACGAGCAGGCGGGAGTGTGATGGGATGAGTCGGTGTGGTAGGGCGCGGCGCAGGAGGCGGCACGCAGCGCGCGGGATCCGCCGCCCGTTTCCGGCGGAGGCGGGGGCGGCGGAGGAGGCGGAGGCGGGGGAGGAGGAGGCGGAGGCGGGGGAGGAGGAGGCGGAGGCGGGGGAGGAGGAAGGGGCAGCGGCGGAGACATCGGCGGCGGAGGAGGCGAAGGCGCGGCGCGTGCGGTGGAGGCTCTCTTCACCGCAGCCGCAACACCGCCGCCGCCGCCGCCGCCTCCTCCTCCTCCTCCTCCTCCTCTTGCGCCGCCGGCGGCGTCCTCGCCCGAGACTGGCGCAGGCGGCACCGGCCGTACGCGGGAGGAGGAGCAGCCGAGAGCCAACGGCGCTGAGGTAGGCGGCGGCGGCGGCGGCGGCGGCGGCGGCGGAGGAGGAGGAGGAGGAGGCGGAGGCGGAGGAGGAGGAGGCGGCGGGCTCGCCGCCGACAGCGCGCTCGCCCTGGCGACAGCGGCGGCGGAGCCAGAGTCGGTGTCGATGCTGTCGTCGATGGGTTTCAGCGAGGAGCAGGCGGTGGCGGCGCTTGCTGCGGCTGGCGGCTCCCTCGAGGCACTCCCGTAGACACGTCGCAGACACGTCCTAGACACGTCGTGGATACATCGTGGACACGTCGTGGACACGTCACGTCCGCGACACGTCCGCGACACGCCCGCGACACGCCCGCGACACGTCCGCGACACGTCGCGGAGCTTGTCGCCGCGGACCTAGCCCCGCGACCAGCTCCTCCCCTCCTCGAGAGGCCCACCCGCCGATGACGTCGGCCTGCTGGAGTGACCCGACTGGCCGCCGGAGCTGCCAGGCGCGACTCTCCTCCTTCTCATCCTTCAGGCGGCCGCCGACTGGCTCATGTCGCACTCAGACTCGAGCCTCGATGCGGCGGTCGCGGCAGCGCTGCGAGACTTTGCCGCCGCCCGTAGCGCCCCTCCTCCGCCGCCGCCGCCGCCTCCGCCGCCTCCGCCGCCGCGCGCGAACCCGCCTCCGCCCCCCGTGCGCGGACTTCCTTCCCCGGCGCCCGGAGTCAACGCCGCCGCTGTCGAATCGCTGCGCCGGTTCGGAGGGCCGGCGCCTCCAGCTACGGGGAGATGTGGGGAGATACGGGGAGATGTCCCGCCTCTAGGTTCGGAGGGCCCGCGCCTGCGCGCAAGCCAGCGGGAGGCTTGTCCGGTCTCCTCGGCGGCGCGACAACGAGGCGACTCTCCGACCCCAATGCGCCGGACTGCTATAGGCCTCTTCGGCCTCTTCGGCGGCGCGGCGGCGCCGGCGGCCAAGGGGCCAGTGCAGGTGGACACTTCTCTGACACTTGCTGAGACACGTGAGACACTTCCTCGACACTTCCTCGACCCTTCCTCGACCCTTCCGGGACCTCTCCCGCAGGTGGACACGTCTCTGCCTCGCCACCTCGAGGCGCAGGGCGCCGAGGTGCACCCACAGCTCGGGGGGTGAGGGAGAGCTCCTCGACGGCCCTTCCCGGACCGGTCCTGGAGCCTTCCCCCGCAGGTGCACCAGCTGGGCGCGAGGGTGAGGGAGCTCTTCGCAGGAGGGCAGTTTGGGGACGCACTCGGCGTGGCGGAGCGGAGGCTCGACTTGTGCCGCCGCACGTACGGCTCGGAGCACGCGATGTACGCGACTTGCCTCAACGACGTGGCCACCTTCGAGCAGGTCTTCGCGCGGTACGACCGCGCCGAGGCGTTCCCCGAGACGGAAGCGATGCGTAGCCGTCGTCGTCTCGCCACTCGGGAGCTGCTGGCTGTCTAGGCGCTCTTCGAGGAGGCGAGCAAGATCCAGAAGAAGCTGCTCGGGCAAGGCCACCCTCACACGATTGCGACGCTGCAGAACCTGGCGGCGCTCTACACCGCCAAGGGCGACGCGCCAAAGGCGGAGGCGATGCAGCTGCTCGTGCAGGCGCTGCAGCTGTCGTCGAGCGGCGGGGGCGACGGGCCGTGAGCGCCTCTTGGACGGTGGTGGCCGGGGAAAGAGGCTGGTGTGGGAGCAGGGCCACAGTGCCACATACACCCCGCGGGGCGCTGGCTCGTTGTGTGAGTTGCGTGAGAGCGAGCGTGTGTCACTGTGTGACGGACACTGATTTAGATTATGACCCCGCAGTGTGTGTCTGTGTGTGCGCGCACGCATTTCTCCCGCGGAATCGGGGTCTTCTTAACGAATTTTGTAGGGAGTTCGGCGCACACCCCTTGCCACTCCGCCCCCTCTAAAACATGTGCGACATGCTCGTGTCGTACAAGCCCAAGCCTTTATTCAGTTGTCTGGTACGCTGCGGACCGAGGCGACGACCCGGACCCCGACACAGACGAGGGGGGGGGTGGAGGCGGGGGAGGCGAGCTGTCGGGAGGGGCTGGCTCAGAGCCCCAAGGCCCGGAGGCCGGGGATCACGAAGGGGAGGCGAGCTCGCAGGATTTCCTGATCGAAGGGCCTGACTCGCAGGAGAGCTTCTCGAGCATGGACGTGGACGGGGTGGAGGAGGCAAGCTCGCAGGACACCCTGTCTGGGCAGCCCGACTCGCAAGGCAGCTTCTCGAGTATGGACCTGGACGAGGAGGGCGAGGCGGAGAGCGGCCCTGCGCCTGACGAGGCGGGCGAGACGAAGGAGGGCGACGGACAAAGTCGCGGCGCAGGGGGTCCGGAAAGCGGCGGGGCTGGAGGGGGCGGCCCCTCCCCGAACCTCGCCCTCGGGCGTGTTAGGTCGTCGGCCAGGGAGGCAGGACTCCTGCAGGGCACCTTCGGGTGGATCTCAGTAGAGCCGGCAGGCACCCCGAGCTCGCGACGCCCTTCACGACTGGAAGGGCCAGGGAGCGCACGTGCTTTGATCGCAGGGGGCACCATGGAGGGTGCACCTGCGCCACGGAGGCACTCCGGGCGGCGTATGGGTATGCAATGTGGGGGGAGGGCCGGGGAGATGCTGCCTCGGCGCGCGCTGCCGCGACGCGGCACGGAGTCGACCGGGCCACGCCGGCGAGGGAGATGCGCTCCAGCGAGGGTCGCGTCCTTGAGACCGCCGACGCGTTCCTGGACGACAAGGCCGATCGACTCTGGAGGACGCGGTCGGCAGCACTTCGCGAACTGGCACAGAAGGTTCGAGACGGCACGGATCTTGTGCTCTTATGCGCGGGTAGGATTGAGTCCTGTCACGGCGATCTGCTGAGGAAGGGGATCCTAGCCGAAGCGGCGCAACTCGAGGCCACCAGCAAGAGGAAGCCGCGCTCCGACAAGGGCAAGCCGAGGGGTCCTCGGGGGCCCAGGGCCGATTCGGTGGAGACGGCGGCCCGCATGGGGGTGCTGTCGACCTTCTACCTCCGGCACGCTTATGGACGGGACAGCCCGGGGCTGCATGAAGAGGACGGGGTGCTCTC